GACTTGGAGAAAAGGACCCAATTTGGATAGTGATACAACATTTCATCAAATCCAATGTAGATATGAAATTATACCCTATTAGTCAATTAATCAGCCGTGTGTTTAATGAGTTAAGAAGTTAGTTACCAAGTCTTTTAGGGATAATAAATATGCAGAGTCTTTGCGGTTTATATTTTAAATTCGTTCGATCCTATTTTGTAGTTAACTAGTTGACGTAAAACCTATTTTAAAGGTTGGTTGCTTAATGAAAAGTAGAGCATTTGAATTTCCTTCATTCTTTTTCACTTATCCTTGCTGCTATTTTAGCAATACCAGTTTTAGACGAAGCTTTGAATCCAAAATAAGACCAACCCACATCAAAATGAATCAAAAAGTGGACTTTTAAATTGGACCCAATTAGTATGGAGATACAAAATCGGTCTATGTATACAAAACAAAATCCAGTTCCCCTCTCAATTTCGATCCAACCTTAATTCGGATGGAACTCAAATCAAAGACACCCAAAACAAGATAATTCACGAAATATAAAGTGCAATATTATTCATGAGAAAGCATTACCTATATGTACATGTGATTGAACACTCAGAAAAATTACTGTATACTACGAATCCAATTTAGGATTTATTATAGTTAAGAAAAAAGAAGATTGATTATCGGAGATCCCATTTGGCATTTGAAACCTCTTGTTCTTGTTGCATACCGTCAAATCTTTGCCACCTTTGCTTATTTCTTGGAGTGGTAATTAATTTTCTTCATACTTTTTTTTTGAAAAGAAGTTATCAGATTACCATCTTCTCCGTTCTTTTCAAAACAGTCGTCAGATCCGCTGTATCTTGTGCCTATTTTTATAGTGTGAATCCTTCTTTTTTTTTATTTTTTTATGTAAACCTCAATTCAAAAAGAATATAGAAAAGAATATATACCGAGAGAAAAGAACAGGGATTATGACAGTCTGACAGTTCGTTCAGGAAAAAAGTAAAGAAAAAAAAGTTTAATTACCAGTCCAAGAAGTAGGCAAAGGTGGCAAAGATTTGACGATAAGCTACAAGAAGAAGAGATTTCATGCGTTGATTCCATGGCCAGTCTGGAGAATTATGTATGTAGTTTAGTTACTTATATATAAAGAAAACTGAACCCAATAAAAGAAAAACTAAAACAACGCAATCTGGAAACACTTTTGAATGAACCCAAATTAAGAAAACCCATAAAACAACTGGACTTTGAAATTGGATTCCATTATAGCCCCAATTGATACAAAATCGACCTATTCATATATGACAAAATCTAGTTCAGGCCCAACCTTAATTCAGATAAACTCAAACCAAGTTAATAGATCCTTAAACTAAAATTAAATGAACTTGCTTTTCACACAAATACATATATATATATATATATCTGTATAAATATATTAAGGATAATCTTATGGAAGCGTATAAGAAAACCTTACAAATTGGTGAAAGGTATAATTGATTGAGAAGCAAAGGATGGAAGTTTTCTAGTGAGATTTGAAATGTAAATCAAGTATCTCCTCCTCCACAAAACAATGTCATGAGATCCACAAGACATCCCTTCATAATTATTTTAGCTCTTCTTTCTCCTTACTCGAACTCCGTACCAACAAACTCCGTTTGTTTCCCAAGAAAATTTTCTTATTAATCTTTCTCTCTTTCTTTTCTTTTTGTGTTTGTAAGTAAGAAAATATTAGTAGGAAAAAATGGTGGAAATGTTGCTGCACGGAGAACTGTACGTGACGATATTTGAGATTTATAAGCTGCAGTACAACTGTGGAATTAATTTATGCTGGCAGGTACTTTACTCCTTAATTAATTAACTATTTTCCAAATTATGTATTAGACTCAAAATTCTGTATTTTCTTTAAACATAATTCAACATGACTCAGGTTTAAGCCATATAATGAAGATTATTATCTATGCAAATAATCTTCTGAAATATACTCTTCTTCTATATATATATATATATGTGTGTGTGGTTGTGTATATGGGACTCTACCTTAGCTTCTGTTTTGAGAAAGACCATAGACTCCATTGCAATGGAGCTAGTAATATAAAATCACCATGTCATTGTTAGTGCATGTGCTTAATTTTATGCTATGAAATTGGATGAGCAGGGAGAACAAACATGTGGGAAAAGAATTCAAGAGCAATTCAAGAGAACAAAAGTTGCATGCCAAATGGTAGTTTCCTCCTCTTCCTACTTGATATTTGTATAGATATAAAGAAAACCCAAACATCATTTTCTTCTTTATTTAAATTTTGACATGTTAATCTATTAGAATTTAAATTATTAATTGACCAAGTATATGGTTCATATTTTAATATGTTCTCTCTCAAATCAATTCAATAAATTAAAACACTCATATATTGTATCCTACTTCATGTCAAATTATTTTTTTCTTACAAAAATGTGATATATATATATATATAAGATTCAAAAGTCAAATACTAGTCCTAATTTTATGTGAAATATTAAAGTTATTTATTTTTTAATAAATTATAATTTATTATGATGATCTTAAAAAATTCATGCAGATTGTAGGCTCCAAACTATATGCAACTGTTGATTTAGATAAAGCAAGAGTTGGGCGAACTCTAATAAAAAGACACCAACCTAATAACCCAAAGTGGATACAAGATTTTCGCATTTATTGTGCTCACTTAGTCTCAAATGTTATCTTTACATTAAAAGGTGATGTTGCTATTGGAGCAACATTAATAGGGAGAGCTTACATACCGGTTGAGGACATCCTTAAAGAATCTATAATAGATAGATGGGTTCCTATATTAGATGAAGACCATAACCCAATTCAAGGACACCCTAAAATTCATGTAAACGTGAAGTTTGTATCTATTACAAGGGACCCAAATTGGTCTAAAGGAATCCAAAATCCATATTTTGATGGAGTTCCCTATGTCTACTTCAATCAAAGAAAGGGTTGTAAAGTTATTCTATACCAAGATGCTCATGTGTCAAATGAGTTTAGTCATCCAATTTTTCTCTCAGGAGTCAAGCAATATGAGCCTCAAAAATGTTGGGAGGATATTTTTAATGCAATCTTGAATGCTAAGCACTTGATTTATATAACTGGATGGTCTGTATACACTGAAACAACTTTAATAAGAGACCCAAGAAAACAAAAAGATAGTAATATGACACTTGGAGATCTTCTAAAGAAAAAAGCTAATGAAGGTGTCAAGGTCCTTATGCTTGTTTGGGATGATAGATCATCAATGGGACAACTTAAGGAAGTTGGTCTAATGGCAACACATGATGAAGAAACTGCAAAGTATTTCAAACACACAAAGGTACGTTGTGTTTTATGTCCTCGTAATCCAGAAGGAAAAACAAGTTTTGAACTTTCTACAATGTTCACTCACCACCAAAAGACTCTAATCGTTGATAGTGAAGTATTTGGGAAAAGTGGCCAAAAGAGAAGTATTGTGTGTTTTCTTGGTGGCTTAGATCTTTGTGATGGTCGATATGACACACAAGATCATCCCCTTTTCAAGACATTAAACACAACTCATTCTCAAGATTTCCATCAACCAAACTTTGATGGTTCGTCAATTATAAAAGGTGGGCCAAGAGAGCCTTGGCATGACATTCATTGCAAGCTTGAAGGGCCTGTTGCTTGGGATGTCCTGTATAATTTTGAACAGAGATGGCGAAAACATGTTGGAAGACTTCATATAATCTCAAAAAGGGAGCTAAAACAATTTACAATTGACCCATCATTTGCACAAATTGATGACCATGACCCAAATACTTGGAATGTCCAAATTTTTAGATCCATTGACAGTCATGCTGTTAGAAAATTTTCAAACCCGAATGTTGCACTTGGATTGATTAGTGAAAAAGATAAAATTATTGATAGAAGCATTCAAGATGCTTATATCAATGCCATACGACGAGCGAAAAATTTTATTTACATTGAAAATCAATACTTTCTTGGCAGTTCATATGGTTGGCAATCAAAAGATATTAATGTGGATGATATTAATGCTCTGCATCTTATACCAAAAGAGCTTTCCCTTAAGATTGTAAGCAAAATTGAAGCTGGTGAGAGATTTTCAGTATATATTGTGATCCCAATGTGGCCTGAAGGTAAGCCTGAGAGTTCTTCTGTTCAAGCAATTTTGGATTGGCAAACGAGAACAATGGAGATGATGTACACCGATATATGCAAAACCCTTCAAAATAAAAAACTAAACATAGATCCAAGAAATTATTTGTCATTTTTCTGTCTCGGCAATAGAGAAACAATGCAACCTGGTGAATACATTCCTGTGCAAAAGCCAGAGCCAAATACAAATTATAGTAGAGCTCAACAAGCTCGACGTTTCATGATCTATATTCATTCAAAGATGATGATTGGTAAGTAATGGTCTTAAAATTATTTGTTAAATTTTCTTTTTCTCAATGGAAGTTGTTTAAGCTTATGAATAATTAGGTTGAAATATTTTTATAGGGTATTCATTAAATCCAAGTAAAATTAAATCAAATCATTCTTTTTTAACTTTGTAATGTAATTCAATTTAAAACTAACATCAAATAACATTAAAACGATAAAATAATTAAATATCTTTATATAATTATTATAAATTATAATACAAAAAAGTTACATTAATATAAAATTAACAAATAAAAGACAAAATATATTCTAGTCTTCAGTTCATGTTGGGGGCAAAAGACAAAATTAGATTTTCTTTAATTAAATCCAGAAAAATTCAAGTTTTTGTTCTAAAATTAAAAATTGAATGTCTTTAACCTTTCATTTTTCGACCATTAAAAGTATAATATAGTCTTAAATTTTATGTTCCAAGCGAGCAGACTCCCTCATGATAATTTCAAAGCCTAATGTTTTGTTTATGTTTTGTAGTGGATGATGAATACATAATAATTGGATCAGCAAACATCAATCAAAGATCAATGGATGGTGGAAGGGACTCAGAGATTGCCATGGGAGCATTTCAACCAAATCATTTAGCAACTGAACAACCAGCTAGAGGACAAATTTTTGGGTTCAGAATGGCCTTGTGGAGAGAGCATTTAGGATTTATTGACAACTCATTTGAATATCCAGAAACTGAAAGATGCATCAAACTAGTAAATCTCAAAGCAGATGAATATTGGAACTTATATGCTAGAGAGAAGCTGGATTATGATCTTCCCGGACATCTTCTTAGATACCCGATTGATGTTTCTCTTAATGGCTCAATCACACCTTTCCAAAACATAGAGTTCTTTCCTGATACTAAGGCTCGCATTACCGGAGGCAAATCTAGCTTTCTCCCTCCCATTCTCACCACTTAAAACACCATATACACTTATATGACAAACATACTAATAATAATAATAACTATAGTTGTTATTTCTCACACATATGATTTGTTAAAAAAAAAATCATTTTATTATGAATAAATTGATATTATGGAAGGAGCATTATCTGCAAATCACATCATCAATTACCCATCAATATGTAAGAACATATAGAGTATGTGTCCAAATCATACTTATATTTATTTATTCACTTTCTAATTCAATCAAATGTAAATTATTTATGTAAGAAGTAAAGAATTTCAAAAATAAAATAAAATTAAACCACCATGTACCTAATTTAAATTTTAAGTCCAAATTACCATTAACGAGAAAAATATCATTAACAGCATAAACTACTTTTCTAATTATGTGGATTAATCGTACTTCACGTTGTTCAACTAGAACATTTGGCATGGAGAAGACTTTTAACACATTCTCTAGTGTGTTTTTTTTTTCCTTTATCAAATACATTATTAGTTCATTTATTTAACTAATGAGTCTTTGAAGTTACAAACAAAAGAACTCTTAATTTATTTATTCAAATAAGTATTCCTCTTAATTACTTTCCCATAACATTAACAAAAATGATACACCAAGTGATAACCAAAATTCACGTTATAAAAATAGAGCCATCATAATTACAAAATTAAATTTATTAAAAGTACTTTTAAAAACTTTTTAAAATATTTTTTACATTAATAAAGTATTAAGAAAAATATTAGAGTTTGGAATTGTGCTCTTTTATCTACTCATTTAAAAATTATTTTATTGATGTTTGTGTATTATAAAAATTATTGATAATGTTCTTGAAAACTAAATAACGAATTTTAACTCAACAAGAATTTCTACTTTCTTTCATATTGAAGAGTTAGTTTTGACTTTTTCTTATCACAAAATTTTCTAAAGTAATACCAATAGTAAATATATATATATATACATATATAGAAAGTTATCAATTTTTATTTTTATTTTTATTTTTTCGTCTTCGTAAATATTAATTTCATAAATTCGTACAATAACCAAAGCCGTTCACTTTTCTCGTTTCATTTGTTGCACATAGTAAAAAATTTTGAAGCAGAGAAGAGATTTTAGAGGAAAACAGAGAGGGAACCCTTTGGTTGAATTTACCAGAGGGTCAATCTTTCCAGGAAGGAGATAGCAACATAATCGAAAACCCAATTCAAATATGCCATTTTTTAGGTATCTATCTGAATTTCATATGTATGTATGTATATATATATATATATATAGATTCTCTCGGGAACCAAACAGAACTCGTACTTTTTCTTTTAAAACGTTGATCACTTCGTTGGATTCTGTTAGGTTTTCATTAAAAACTACTCGTGGATTTAATCGTTTTTTTAATTATTATGCAAATTTTGATTGACGGCTATTCGATATCTCTACAGCATCGCTACGTTTCTCCTTCCTGGAATTCGTGTTTTGCTCAAAGGAATCCCTGCTTTGACATTGGTCAATGCATCTCCATAGACTTCTTCCGTCTTGGATCCGTCATCTAGTTTCCTGTATGGGGTAAGTTTTTTAATCTCCTGCGGTAATGAAATTCTTCTACTTTTTTGACTGTTTGGTTACCAAGAAAATTGTGGAAAAAGGGGAGGAAAAATGACGTCATATGTTTTTTTTACACTGTTCTCTAAACTTCGTCTAATTTCATTTTTGTTGATCATTTTTACGCTATAGATAATGGTAAAACACCGAATTATTTTATTTTGTTTTATTAGATTATCTAATTTTGTTTAATTCGGCTTCTAGGTAACTTTGGATTTCTATAGCGTAAGCTTTAATTTTATTTGACACGGAATCTTTTTGTGTTGCTGTTTACTTGCTAAGTAAGCGAGAATGAACAGCTATGCATATTGGGGAATTTTCCCCCCTTAATTTGACATTCCTTTCTTGAAGTTTTGGCCATTTGATTATGATGCCCTTGAGCTTTGCATTTGCGTTTTGGATGCCATTGCAGTTATGCATTATAGGTGTTGTTTGTTGGTCCGGAAAGAGAGATGCTTTCCGAGAAAACCTCACGTTTCTTTTGTGCAATTTTCAGCAGCTTACTGTCAAGCTCTTTGGATTTGGTTGATGGGATCATTTAAGATGAAATTAAAAGCTCTTTTCTCTGTGAGGGAGAACTTTTCTTTCATTTGTTGTATCTTCTGCTATATTTATCTCTCGTTTGTTTCTCTTGGAAATAGAATTTCATAGTTTCATGCTCAGTTGTGGTTTTAAGATTTTAATTTCTAATAATTCATTTCACCTCTCTTGCCTGTACAACAACCGTGGATCTTCTTGCTTGAATTGAAATTCAAAATTCTTTTGCATATAGGCTGAATATGATTGTAGATTATTAGGCTGGGGAGCGCTTATCAATCAGGAAAAAAATTATCACATCGTTATAAACTTGAGGCTTATCAATTTTTTCACTTGTTGGATTCTTGGGAAAATAATTGGAACTGTCTGTTTGGTCTGTTTCTCTTGTCAGTTTGAAATGAGTATCCTTAGTTGTTGTTGTCAAACTCACTTTTGTTTCATGTCCTCATTGTTATCGTGATGTTTATTTTTATCATTTTTCTTGCAGCAGTTTTTTTAAAAAAATTTATTATGAACTACAAAAAGAAAAATCAAATCTCTTTTTAACAGTTTAGAGAAGATTGTCTTTATATGATTTATAATTGTGCTACAGGGAGAAGATTTTCTTTTTACGATTTATACTTGTGCCACATTTTCATGTTCTTTTTTTTTTTTCAACTTTTCCCTTGAAAAGTCAACAATCAAATTTTTCGATATGTTGCTAATTTATTTCAACTTGATTTTAAAATGTTAATCTTATATAATTTATTTCATATTGGTCTTTGCTAATTGTGGATCAACTTGTGGGCATCTAAATTGATAAACCTGGGGTGCCAATATGTGCTGAAATACAATTGTGGGCTATTATTCTAATGATTGTTTTATCAATCCAATAAAAGCGCGAGCAAATTATTATAAGTTCAAGACTTATATATGTCACTTATTGAAATTTTAGAAATGAATTGCCATTATCTACTTTCTTTTTCTTCCTTCTAATGTCACATTTGTTGCACACCCTTATTTCCAACTGCTCAATTGACGACTGAGTTGATTTGATAATTGGTGCTAATCATAGTTCATGGTTGACCTGCTTTGCAACAGAGCAGAGGTTGTCTTGGGTGCTGTAATAAACCTCCTATTGTCATTTCTGTGGATGAACCATCAAAGGGACTCAAAATTCAAGGCAAATCAGTGAAGAAAGCTAGCGTCTCAGAAGATTTTTGGAGCTCTAGCGCTTGCGAAATTGACAATAGTACAGTTCAGTCCCAGAGGAGTATTTCATTGATGAGCACATCAGATCTACCCCTTGATCCCTGCAGCAGTGCTGGAACCTCGAGCAATCCTGTCGAATTTGTAAATCATGGCAAGTTTAAATGGTTTAATATTCCTATATATATTTGATAATTGAAGGTGACTTGTGTTTACTACATATGTAGCGTGAGTAGGAGATTGCCATCCATTCCTCAATTTAAGTTCATTATTTTAGCTTGTTCGGGTTAGAAAGCTAATGGATGCCCTCAGGCCATAGCTGCTATAATTTTGGTCTTGTTGAGCAGTAAGGCGTTTCTTGGTTTGTTGATTGTGTACAGCTATTTTAGATTTGCTTCCTGTTAGATTGGATCCTTGCCTGAAGATGCAGCTGAAATTCAAGTCTTCTGCTTAGATATCTGATTCCCATGATGTTATTTTCAATAAATTAATGCGCATTCCATAAAAATGGGGCTGGAGACATGGGTCATGGGGCGGTGATATCCATTTGCTGCTTTATGAATAATAATTACGACTTTTTTCTCTCAAAAGGAGAAGAAGGGAGAAAAAGATGGTTGTGATCTGTATGTGATGATTGAACAAATATAAAAAAAAAAATTGAGATATATAATCACTTAATATTCTGCTTTTTTAACTTTCTGCTATGTTTTGTTTTGTTGTGTATGTACATTTGTGCTTTAAGTTTTTACCCGCTTCCTTGCTCAAACAGTCACTGTTAGTTCTATTTCTCTTTTGCTTTTTCACATATCCACTGTATTGGTTTTGGCCTAATGACCTCCTTGGTACTTGCAGGCCTTCTTCAATGGAATCAGACAAGGCAACAATGGCTTGCACATAGAAGGCCCCAGAAACCAACAAAAGTTCGAGAACCCACGATAAGGCAATTCTTCTTATCATAATTTGCTTATCAAATCCCTTTTTTCTTATTGTTAAAAAAACATAGAGAACTTATACGTGCATTTCCCAATGCATTTGGATATCAATGTTGTGGGATGCTGTGCATCGAAGCATTTCAATTTGTTGACTGCCTACGCTGCAAGCC